TGTGTGTGTGTGTGTGTGTGTGTGTGTGTGTGTCCAGTCTCCCAGGGGCAGAACACACAAGTTGCACGGCATTCATATTACAAAATGTAACCACACCCAGTCTTGCTTTGCCATCATTACGTTTTCAGACAATACAATACAAGGAAAGTTGTTGCCTATAAGACCGAAGACTACAAACTTTTGCTTTTTGTTGTGTGTGGTTATTTTCGGACAGGTGTTCCTTATCTATAACACCTCATCGCCTCGGGCACTAGGAGATTAGGAAAGATGAAGTGGCACTGTGTGAGACTCAGGCTTAGCTGAGCTTGGCAGACCAGGTAGAAATCACCTTTAAGCCGTCTAGTGAAAGAAACAAATACCTGCTCATACAGGAAAATAGTACAAATTGTTTCATTTTTTGTAAATATGACAGAATCTAACAAACAATCAGCTATAACAAAACAGAGTATTGGATGCTGATGCACACCTTAAGCACCCTTTGGGTACAACACATGGCTGCCCCCAAGCAAAAGAACAATAACTGCACAATGAGTACAAAAACCAGATGTCATTTTAAAGCATATTCCTACAAACTGAGCTTTCCGTTATGCCCAAATTGAAATTGAGTGTCTGCTAATCATATTTCTACAGGAAGGTTGTCGCTGAGTTTGAGAGCCCTAATAGTTTGTATAATACAGTTCGGTGTCACCACAGGCTGAAATTGGGCTCTTAATGTGCAGCCCTTGGGTAGCGATGGCAGCCCTGAGAGCAGTAATAAGGCTAACATATCTCCTGCACACAGACTCACAGCCTGGCTGCAAACGGCATATAATATCAGCTTCCTCTCGGCAGCCCAGAAAGTGGGAGGAGAGGACGAGAGAGCGCAGCATTTTGGTAGTAATTAAAGTTTTGCCTCATTAGGAGGTGAGAAGTTGAGACAAAGTAGACTAATTATCAAAAAGGCAAAAACAAGTGCACACTTATACACTTGGACGTTGTGTTTTTGGGGGATGGCAGCCGCCTCTGGGTATCATTGTGCTTTCCTTCCTTCCTAACAAAGGAGTGGTGCAGTCATTGTGTTTTGTTTGCAGTCTGACCTGGAAGTGAGCTTCCTCTACTAAAAGCAATGGGATTTTTCCATTGAATTCAGAAACAAAATAATATCTTTGGCAAACACACATTTATGATGCTTTTACATGTTGTTCAGTAGGATAATCATTATTTTGTAGGCGCAAATAGCTAGTGTAATGCAATAAACAAACGACATCATGGTCGCATGACTCCATGTCACCACCGCTAAGCTAAAGACGACTAATGTTTGGTGTGATGACGTTTAGCAGACTGATATTTAGCCGCTTGTTAGCAACGGCCAATTTGCAAGTCTCATCATCACAAGTATGAGCTTGAACCCTTTAACATTGGGGTGTGTAATTTAAATATTTTATGTCGTAGAACTAAATGTAAAAATGATCCTTAACGGAAGACCTTATTTCGGAAATCTAACCAACAACGAATTCAAAAAGCCTTTGACAACTTCGACACGAGGGAGCCCAGAAAGCCAACTCATTTAGGGGTTTAGGACTCATTCCTGCACCACTCTTTACATCCCCTTGATAATAGGCTGAAGACAAACCTCAGCCATTCACTTCTAAACATGCTCTCAGCCTGGAGAAATGTGTTCATCCTTAACTCAATATAATAAAGGTTATCCACCCTCCAGTTCCCACTTACTAGAGCAGTGTCTGAACTCAAAGCGGACGTGGGACC